AGTCTCATAGGATCACCTTTTCTGCAGCTGCAGCTCCACCCTCTGGGCTCTAAGCATCTGCAGTACTGGGTCATCCTGAAACTCGCTGCCGTCTGAATCTGGGAGGAAAACAGTTCTCAGGGGGGCTGGCCCCCACTAAGATCCCTGTGCATGCAACAGGCTCACCTTCTGCAGCCTCCAGAAGTCGGGCAGCTTGAGAGAACAGGTCCTCCGATGGCGATGGGGCATGGTGATCCTCGGCCGAGGGCGCCGCAGCCAATAGAGATCCCAGCTCCAAAGCAGTAGAAGGGGGCTCGGGGAGTGTGGCCACCCTCTCAGCTGAAGAGGGCAGAACCTTAGGTGGTGGGGACCCGGCTTCAGCTAAGGGAGTGACAGAGCCTTGTGGAAGTCCCGGCTCCTCTGGGCAGGGCTTGGGTGTGGCCCTCGCCTGGCACAACCCGGCCTTAGACCCACTCCCGGATTCTGAGGGAAGGGGGGTGACCTTGACTCCCAGGGGGTCGCTCTTGCTGCGAGGGGGCGTGTCCTCCAGGCCATCAGGGAACAGCCGGGCGGCCACCACCTGGCCCAGGGCACCCCTGAGCTGCTCGCCTGGCCCCTCGCTGGCTGCTGGGGCTCGGCCTACAGCGTCCCGGCACGAAGTTCTGCCCTTCCGAGGCCTGGGTCCGACTTTCTCTGTCTGGGCAGAGCTGCCTGGCTCGGGGGTAGGCAGGCTCTGGTAGGTGGCAGGGGATATGGGATTGGTGGTGGTGGGCCCTGGGATGGAGGAGGCCGGCGGAGCTGAGGAGGAGGCCGGGGGAGCTGAGGTGGAGGCTTGGGAAGCTGGAGGAGCTGAGGGAACAGGGGTGGAGGCTAGCGGTGGCGGAGGAACCATTCCAAGAGGTGCCCAGGGACTGGACTGTGGGGCCCAGAAGAACCCATGGGTGCTGGGCGCCCAGAGGATGTGAGGAGAGGGCCCTAGGGCAACAGGAGGCCTCTCCACGTAAAAGGCCTCTGCAGGACCAGGCGGGGCCACACTGCCCCACAGTGGGACACAGGGCGGCTGGTTAGCCAGGGAACAGAGAGTCACCGCAGAGGCAGCAGGGGCAGCAGGCTGTAGATAAAAGAGGGGGACCACGGGGTTGGGGCTGGGGCAGGTGCGGGCGTGGCCCTAAGGGCCCTTCATCCTCCAACTTGGTCCAGCTCCCCTCAGGATCCTCCCTCTTTCAACTTACCAGAGTGGCAAGGGCAGGGGTCCGGGGCAACACCCAGGTTCCATCACCTTCCACCCGTCGGGCCTGTTCGAGCTTCCGACGCTGCCGCCATTGGTACAAAATGTCATCCTCTGGCCGAAGGGGTGCTGGGGAGGAGCCTGGAGCTGGAGCAGGGGTGGGGGCCTGGGCTGACGCTGGAGCTGCTGAGGAAGGGAGTACAGAGGGAAGGGGATGAGGAAGGAGACAGTGTGGTGAGCATTCTGCAGGCTGGTCAGTAATGCCCAACTCCTCTCTGGGGCTGGAAGTGGGGAGGGGCCAGTCAGGGGATAGGGCACTTGTGGTTCTCTACCTGCCATCTTCCACTTCTTCATTCATGCAACAATATTTATTGAGCTCGCATTATTTGCCAGGCCTAGTGTTCTGGACACTGGGGGTGTAGCACTAAACAGGGCAGACTCTGGAATGCCCCTACTGTCTCTGCCCTGTCACTGCCCTTCACCCTGGTCCAACTTTACCCAGCCCGGATTATCCAGCAGCCTCTTTCCTGGACTCCAGTCTTTCCTGTCCTCCTAGTCTGTTCCCTACTCGCAGCCACCAGGAGGCTGTGAGTCCTGGAGTGTTTGGGGCCTTCCTGGTTATGAACCCTCCTACCTGCACCTCCCTCCTGGTAACAGGCAGAGGCTTTTGAGCTTGTGGTTCTTTGTCTAGAAGGCTCTTTCCTTGTCTACCTCAGGCTTTTTTTCTCTTTTCTCATCTGCTTTAGGTCCTTTTCTTTCTTTTGGTACTAGGACTGAACCTAGGGCCTTAGAATAGTCACACCCTTAGCTCTTTTATCTTTTGAGTCAGAGTATCACTAAAATGCCTACGCTGGAGTCTTTTAACTTGTGATCTTCCTGCTTCAGTCTCACGGAGCCCTAAGACTATAGATATGTGCCCCCATGCACAACAGTTTGCACTTTTTAGCTAAGTTGCAGTTTATAGAGCTTAGATATGACTGTGGGGCAGTACCTGGACTCAAACACATTGAAAGTTAGCCAACTGCCTGGGAAGTAAAAGGTCCAGAGTTTGATGCTCAGTACCGCAAAAAAAAAAAGAAAAGAAAAGAAAAAAGAAAAAGAAACATAGCCAAACTATATGAAACTGCTAATATTCAACTTTTTTGACTTATAAATACAAAAATTCCTGCTGGGCATGATGGCACAGGCCTTTAATCCCAGCACTCTGGGAAGCTGAGGGAAGAAGACCACAAGTTTGAGCCCAGCCTGGGCAACTTAAGAAGTTAGTGGGACTCTGTAACTGGGATGTAGCTCAGTGTGAAACACAAAGGTTCAACCCTCAGTACTGTCACCATCACCACCACCAAAAAGCCATATAGTTCAATGTACTATGAACATAGCAAAGAGTATGAATATTCACCCTAAATGAGATCAGTATGACTATAGTCTCGTAGGTCAAACTCTGGTATCAGAGCAACATGGTGCCAAGTTTGTAAAAGCCTTTGCAAATGGGAGGGCTGTCATGTTTATGATAGCTTGAGACAGAGCTCTGCTGTTTTTTGTTTATTCATGAACTCATTTTATCCTTACAATACCTGTAGGAGAGGAATCCAATTATTATTCCCATTTCACAGTTGGGTAAACAAAGCCCAGAGAAGCATAAATATCATAGTAAGTAGAAGAGATGGGATTTGAACCAGGTTGCCTCCAATCCTTCCTCCCTGCACTTACCAGCTGCTCTGGGCCCAGAGTCCTTGTTGAACTCAGGGGTGAAGGTCATGGAGAAGGGAGAGAGGCCACTGGAGCTGACAGGGAAGGAGGAACAGCTGGCGTCGCTGGGGCTGAGGGATGAGGAGGAGATGGAGGCCTTGCTGTAGAGAAAAGGCAGAAGGAGGCAATGGAGGTCTCAGAGGCAGTGTCCTGGGCCTCAGCTGTAGGAGTGGGAGGGGCAAAGGGGTGGGACAGGCACCTGCGTTTGAGCAGCGTGGCAGCTCTGCTTTGTAGGCTCAGTGTCTCCAGGTCCAGCAGGGATGAGTTCCATGTGTTCAGGCTCTGTTGGGTAAAAGAAGTCAGTCAGCCTCCACCTGTGGAGAAAGGAGCTCTGGACAGAGAGCCTGGAGTGCAGGTCTCTAGCACGTGTCACCCTCTCAACTGCTGCTTCTCAAGGAAGAGAGGCCTAGTGAGCCTCTTTGGATCCACATCCTTGACAGTCACTGTTGCTGAAGGACTGTAGGATCAAATGGGCCCACACCTGGCTCTCAAAACACTATCTTCTGGTTTACAGTAACTGGTCTAAGGATGAACAAATAAGAGGGAACGCCAGGGGTTTAGGGAGCTATTGCGAAAGTTCCTACTTCCCACTGAAGAAACTGAGTGAACACCATGGGAGCCTACAGCCACTGGGTGCCATCTTGGTTACTGTGAGGGAAAGGCCTGCCTGAGGTTGAACCCAACAAAGAGAAACACAGAATCAAGAGAGCAGAGTTGCTCCCAACATTTCCCAGACACCTGGATCTGACCATGCCTGAAAGCATCTGTTTTTAGAACTCTCAATTATATTTAACAAATTCTCTTTTCTTGTTTAAGCTTTCTCGAGTTGGGGACCGGCTCTAACTCTAACCCAGGGCTACTGCTGGCAGTTCAGGCACACAGGGGAGGGAGTGGATGAGGATGTCACCTGCTTCATTTTCTGAAGGGGAGCCACAGTCTGGGATGTGCTGGCACCCTTGGCAGGAGCTGGGACTGCTGGACCGGGTCGCCCCTCTGATTTACTGGATCCTGCTCAGAAACCTGAGTTAAGTTACAGTGGCCAGGAGGAGTAGCTATGGGGAACACTGATCAGGAAGTGTTCTAAACTAGGGGTGACTGGGCCCGAAGGAGGTACCTGCTGCAAGCTGACTGCTGGAGTCTGAACACTCAGTCTGCAGCCACCAAAAATCAGCTGGGGTTGGGCCTGTACACTGTCGTTCCTCTCGGCTGGTGGGTTGAGCTTGGTGGAACCTATTTATATACCTGTGAGCATCAAGTTGGAAGACAGGAAGAGTGAAGAAAACCAAATAATAATAATGAGGAGGAGGAGCAGAGCAAGAACAAGAGGAAGAAAAAAAGGAAGAGGAGGAAGAGGACCAGAAGATAGGAAGAGCAAGAAGAGGAGGAGCAGGAGGAGGAGAAAAGGAGAATAGCCAATGTGTATCAAACACCATGGAAAGCTATGTTCAGCAGTCCAGATAAATACAGCTGCTTTCTAAGTAGTCACCAAAAGCAAGCAGTTGTCTACAATATTTATTTTCCTTTCTTATATAGTAACACAATTTTTATGTCTGTTTTAGTCTGTTTGTCTAGCTAGCTATTCATCCATCCTATAATAGTGGGAATTGAACCCAGGCCTCAAACACATCTGGCAAGCACTCTACCACTGAGCTACTATGCAGTCTGTTAATTCAACTTTTAGCTGGGCACATGGCCACCGTTCAGTGAACTACATTTGAGAGGTGACTTGTGATCACATTACTAATAGGTAATGAGATGTGATTTTAGAAAGTTGATGGATTTAGGAGCTATTTTGGTCCATGAAGAAAAGGACAACAGCTTAGATAGGAAACCAAATATAAAAGTAATCTATATGCCTTAAACCTCAAAAAGGGACTGCTAGATCAGCCCTGGTGGCTTCTACCTAGACCATTACATGAAAGAAAAATAAATGCTTTCTTGTTTAAGCCCCAACGAACTTGGGACTCTGTTACAGTGCCTGAACCTGAACCCTACAAACCCAAGTACTATGTGGCAAGCACTGTTATAGATCAGCATATACAGTGACTCACTGAAAACTTTAAAAAGTTTTAGGGGGCCAGGGCACAGTAGCATATGCCTGTAATCCTAGCACCTGGGGAGACTAAAGCAGGAGGAGCATAAGTCTGAGCCTGCCTGGGCAACTTAGCAACTTAGTGAGACTCAAAATTTAAAGATACATAAAGGAGGGCGGGTGAGATAGCTCAGCAGACCAAGTGCCTGCTTAGGCAAGTTCACAGACTGGGGTTCAGTCCCCGGTACCACGGCCTGCCCTGGGGCATGCTAAGCCACCAACAGAGTCCGGATGTGGTGGCTCATGCCTGTAATTCCAGTGCTGGGGAGACTGTGAGAGCAGGAGGATGAGTCCAAGCTGCGTAGTGATACCTTGTACCAAATACATAAAAATAAATAAATAAATAAATAAATATGCATAAAGGGCCGGAGATGCAGCTCAGTGATAGAATACACCTGGGTTCAACCTCCCAGAACCTCCAGGCATTGGGAGGGGGGTTGTACATCTGTAATTCCAGCACTTGAGAGGCTGAGGCATGAAAATCACCATGAGTTCAAGGCCACCCTGGACTACTACATACATAATGAGTTTAAGGCCAGCCTGAACTACATAGTGAGACTGTTAAAAAAAAAAAAAAATCTCCCAATATCATGAAGAAAACAAAACAAACAGAAAAAAAATCCCTAAAAGATATGTTACTGTTAATGTGCTCAATTTGAAGAAGAAATTGAAGCCATGATCAGACAGATTTGAACCCAGGTATTCTAGCTTCAGAGCTCTGAATACAAAGGAAGTATCTGGTCCTCACAGAGCACTGAATAAGCAGCTCTATATGACTATTATGGAGTTCCTTCCTCTAACTTTTCCTTTCCCCTCAGGGCTTCTGGTACTTACTTGGCCACCACTGATTCCCCACTGTCCATCAGGGTGGGTGATGAGGAGGCCTCCATCTGTCCCTCAGTAGTGCTGGGTAGGGATGAGGTCACTGAACTGGAAGGCCAAGACTCCTCAAACAGCTCAGGGGACCTGGCTGACATGCTGGAAGCTTGTGGGAGCCTGGAGCTCTCGGAGCTGGATGGGTTCAGGCCCTATGATAGGAGCACATAACGAAGAAAAGTTAGGAGTGATGGGTCATCCCTGTAGGAACAAAGATCTCTCATAAAGCCTTAGTCCAGAGGAGAGGAAACATCTCAGTGTCGCCACTGGTAACAACCTAGAATGACTGGGGCTGTGATGAGGGATCCAGCGGCAAGGGAAGGCCGTGGGAGAGGAAGATTTTGTTTGTCTCTCCATCTCTCAATATATGCTTTCCTTAGTCGTCACTCCCTTGCTACCAGGCTGGTGTCCAACATTATGCAGTGTCCTCACCTTGGGATCCCAGGTCTGGCTGCAGGACGGCTAATAGTAGCTTTGATTCGGAGGAGTATCTCTAAACGGGCAGTCTTGAATGGATAAAACTAATAAATTTAGGGGAAAGTATGGTTAGAAGGCAGAATACAGCATATATAGTGTGATCAAATCAGAGTAACTGCATTTCCATCTCCCTAAACATTTCCCAGATGATTCTGGAGTTCGGTTTAAGAACCACGACTATACCGTATACTGTACATTGCCTATAAACGGGGGGGGGGGGGGGGCCGCTAAGGAAAAGTATAAATGGACTACAATCCCCATGATTCCCTGGGCTCCGCCTAAGTGGGAAAAATTTAGAGACAACACCAATGGGTTTCTGCGAGGAATTTCAAAATTAAGAAACTGTTTCTAAGTTGCCTTTGAACAGACTTAGGGAATGTAATCCCTTTTGGCTACTCAGAGAGAAAAATATAAAGTATTTTTGAGATCCTCGGGAGTGTGAACTACCAGGCAGGAGCGGCCAAAGGCTGTGAAGCATCTTGGGAGTTGTAGTTCCAATGTTAAACGCGCGATTCCGGACCTTAAGGAAATTTGTGTTGCCCTCGCCTTTGATCCTCCTCCAGCTTCTTGTGGTCTGTGGGAGAGGGATCAGTCTCACCTGCGGTCCATCCGGCCGCCACAACAGTGCTCGCGCCTGCTCTGCTCTTTCACTGGACAGATCCGTCTCGCATCTTTGTCGCTTAGCAATGCTCTATGAGCCCCGCCTCTCTCCCGGAGTGCTCCTGCAGGAAGCGGATGGCCGCCCGGACGACCAATGATAAAGAGGAAAATAAATGTCACTGGAAAGTGGCCAATGGAAGACGTCTTATGATTGGCTCTAAGGCGGACCTGCCTGAGACCGCGTGTTTGATTGGAGAATCTGTAGCGTGCAAAGCAGTAATTGGCAAGACCATAAACCAATGGAAAGGATTTGTGATTGGAGGCAATACAGTCTCCACGAGTTCCAGCTGTCTGGTGCTCTGCTTTCCTTGTGGCTGCTGAGTCTTTGTGTAGTATAAATATATTGTTTTATTTGTTGAAGGAGCATTCGGGATCGGTTGCGTCAGTCAGCCAATCTTGATGGTCACCTAAACACTTTCCCGCCGGCCCCACCCCTCCCCCTTGTTGCAGAAGCTAGTCACAATACAGGCAGCTGGTCGCACCGCTTGCCAGGCCTGGGCTTCTGGCCCAGGTAGTGGGATCAAAATGAGCTATTTCAGGATCCGGCGCACGGCCCCTGGGGGGCCAGCATAGAGCGTTCCGGCTCACGCCCCCTGGACGCAGAGCATCCGAGGCTGAGTCAGAGGCACAGAATTAGGCCCGCTGGAACCTGGGGGTAGGGTCTGTTCTGTATCCTTCCGTCAGCCTGGCCTGGCCACTGCATTCTCCAGGAATTTGCTCTTAAGACTTCCATCTGCGTCATCCTCAGAACAGCCAATGGGGAGGACCCAGGACTCGCTCTGGTGGGCTCTCGGGGCCTAGGTCCCAATTGCACTTTGTGTCCCCTATGCCCACCGGGCTCTGCTTCCTTAGCCTTAGTTTCCCCTTCAGGACATTGAAGAACCTTAACATTTCCCTGGCGTCCTTCTCCAGATATCCTACAGGCGCTTAATAAATGGCCAAGTCATTATTGGGGTTTCTAAATAAGGCTCTACTAATGTCTGAGTCTGGCTGCCGTCCCAATGTCCCCGGGAAGCCCGCCTAGAGGCCGGCACACGGTGCACTATAAATCGGCGGCCGCGCACTCAGGGGCACTGCGGATCCCAGGACGACAGTGAAGGAACAGGATGGAGATCCCAGTACCTGTACAGCCGACTTGGCTGCGCCGCGCTTCGGCCCCATTGCCCGGACTGTCTGCGCCGGGTCGCCTTTTTGACCAGCGCTTCGGAGAGGGACTTCTGGAGGCCGAGCTGGCTACGCTCTGCCCTGCTGCGCTCGCCCCCTACTACCTGCGCGCCCCCAGTGTGGCGCTGCCCACCGCCCAGGTGCCAGGCCAGAGGGAGGGGCAAGTTGGCCACTTGCGGGCTAAAGAAATGTTCTTTGGTTTTAGTGTAGTGGAGCAAGGCCACTCAACTGGGCTTCTCGAATATGAAACATGAGACCGGGGTACTGGAGTGAGTGGGAGGTCCCTGTCGCTCTGAGGGGTGGGGTAGTGCTGGGCCCTCACCCGGAGGATCTGGGGAAAAGGACAGGCAGTGACTCCTGAGAGTCACTGAAACGCTATTATCCATGGGGAATGGAGTTTGGAGAACGTTGTGACCCTATGTCCCCTGGATAGGTAAAGGTCCTGTGACTTAATGAAGGGGATCCTGGCCACTTTGCAGTGGGGACAGGGAACCAGTAACTGTTAAGAGTACCTTAGGACCCAAATGGGAGAGTAAAAGAGAGTTTTGGAGACTGGGACAAGAGGCAGCTTAGGGACTTGGGGGGGGGGAAGGGCCCCTGGGGCTGTGGGATGGTGACTCCGGAGTTTGACACTGCAAGTGAGGACAGTCTGGCCACCCTGCGAAGGAGGTCCCTGACCTTGCAGGGGAGGGAAGCTCATCACTCTACATGAAGGGGAATTCAGTGACCATGGCAGGAGGGAAGACCCCAGTTATTGTGGGTGAAGAGGTTCTCAGTGACTCAGTAAGTAAGGGGACCCTGTAAGTCGGTAGATCCAAGGAAGCCCTAGTATGGGTACTAAGCGGGGTGGGACCCAGCGGGCTCACAGCTGCGCCCCACGCCGGCTCTGCGCAGGTGTCCACCGACCCAGGCCACTTCTCAGTGCTGCTGGATGTGAAGCACTTCTCGCCGGAGGAAATAGCAGTCAAGGTGGTTGGCGATCACGTGGAGGTGCATGCGCGCCATGAGGAGCGCCCGGTGAGCCACAGGAGGGGGTGGGCTGGGCAGGACGTGGTGCCCCGGCAGCGCAGGGGCAGCTGGCTCAACCCTCTCCCCTGCAGGACGAGCATGGATTCATCGCCCGCGAATTCCACCGCCGCTACCGTTTGCCGCCTGGTGTGGACCCTGCCGCAGTGACCTCAGCGCTGTCCCCTGAGGGCGTCCTATCCATCCAGGCCACACCAGCCCAGGCCCCACTGCCCTCTCCGGCTGCTGCCAAGTAGCGGTCTAGGCACACCTGAATCCCAGGAGCTGCTTTAGGCTCCCACTTTTAAAGCCGATCTGACTCCAGCCAGCCAGATGTCCCCACCAAGCCAAGACAGTTTCTCCCACCCAGAGATGCCACCTGACCCCTCCACCCTGGAGCCAGCCTTTGATAACCTAGACAGCCCCTGCCATTGCCAGCACCCTTCCTACACCTTGCTACAAGCACTACCCTCACCTCAACCTAGTCTCCTATCTTAGTTTATATCCCCATTTTTTTTTTTTTTTTGCATTTCCTTGACGCTTCTGAAGCATGTGCACACTCCACTTTCACCCTCCCAGCTCTCCCAGCAGATTATGATGTAGACAGCCCTGACCCCAGGCATAAAGCCCACTGCCACCTCTGAATGTCCCACACTGCAGTCTTCCCGCTCCACACTGTCCAGGCCACCTGGAGCCCAAGATTCTCAATCCTTTCCCTGCAACCAGACACTCCACTGCCCTCAGTCCATTTCCTGACTTGAAACCCCAAGCAGCCATCCAGACTCTTGAACTCTATACCAATGCCGAGTTCCTATTACTCGAGGCCACCTGGGATCCCCAACCTCAAACTGTACAGACACCTTTTTGTAGTTTCCCATTTGTCCAGATGTGCTAGGCTCCCTCCCCAATTAACCAGAACACAACAGTCCCTTTGTCCTAACCCCAGGTTTCTAGCCAGATCTAACCAGAACCCACCCACCACACTCTTCTCAACTTCCATAACCCAACCAAGGACCACTCATTCCCTCACTGAATTTCCTGCTCTCCCATGCTCCCTCCTAGGCTCACTGCCCAATAAAAGTGCAAGAGTTATGCCCACTGTTTTATGTCAAGGCCAGGAAGGATGGGCTGAAGCAGATGCCAGTATGGGGCTGGGGAATGTTTATTGGGGTGGGGCCCTGGGAATATCACTGTCGATCGTACATCTCCCGGAGAATCTTCATGCTTTCTGAGTAGCGAAGTTGGTTCCGATGAGATGCTTCCTTCCACCTGGGGAGGTAGAGGGAAGACACAGCAATTGCAACAGAGGTCACAAGGGTCAGTAGGTTGAGGGAGGCTCACCTCTGGCGAATGCGTTTCCAGCGCTGCATGTTACGATAGATGAGTATGGAGGGTGAAGGCTCAGGCTCTGAGGGCTGTAGGGAAAGAGGCCAGGCTGGGTGATTATGCTGGTGCCCCCCACAACATGTGCCCTATAGCCTCAGGCCAGTCTTGTACACCCACCTCATCGTCAGGGGTGCCCTGGGTCTCAGGTTGCAGTGGGGATGGAATGCGAGATCTGCAGGCATCTCCAGGTGGCCCAGGGGCTGTCGGTGGAGGCAGCTTGTACACGTCACGGCTCTTATTGTTGGTGACTTCGGAACCCTGGAGATTCAAAGTCCCAAATCATGCCAAGAGTCAGAGCAGAAAGCTGGTGATATACATTTTATTCCTCCTGCCTTTCCCAGTGATAAGACATGAGGTGTTTGCCAAGAAATCTATACTTCTAAGAGTTGTACCCAAAGCCTAGGGTGTCAGATTCATTTGCTCCAGGAACCCGTCTTGTGACAGCCCAGGGGACCCCAACTGGACCTGCCAGCCCACCCCTCCACATGGAAGGTCTGGTCTGCTATCTGCCTCAGTGGATTCTGTCTAGGGGTTCCTATCTTGTCCAGGAATCCCATTCCACAACAGCAGTATCTGCTCTTATCTTGACAGTTCCAAGACCATATATATGTCCTGGAGACCCCTGTCTACTTTCTCAAGCCAGGCAGTTTACCTACCCTCATCCATCCCTACCCAGCCCAAAGGGTTCCCACCTGCTCATGCATCCCAACTACTAACCATACCTGTCTGCACTAAGAATATCTATGCAGCCCTTTAGCTCTTGGGGACCTTTAATTTTGATCATGTCTATCTGCCCAGGGGAATGCTGTTCCCATTCTACCTAGGAAGGTGGCCATATCTGCCTGCCCTAGGGACCTCTGTCCACACCCCTAGACACACATATGTATGCCTTTCTTGATCCAATATTCACTTGGGAGACCTAGGAACCTGTGTTCATCTTCCATTAATTTGGAAGGAGGCGCCCTTGCGCCTGTCCCTCCCAATACCATCTCTTGCTGCTGCCCATCACCCATCCCACCTCCTCATCCTCAGGCAGTGGGGGCAGTGGTGAACTGGGTGAGCGTTCGTGCTCACGCACTGAGGGGCTATTGCGCATCCAAGCTCGGCAGATTGGGTACAGTGGTGTGTTCTCGCTGAACTGGGCCAAGTCCACACTCCGGTCAAACAGTTTGATCACATATGTGTCTGGGGTGAGGGGAGGGAGCTGAGTTAATACCCTCATATGGGCCGTTGGCTCCCTGTCCACCCTCCAGAACAACTGCTTACTCACTGGATCGCTGAGGCCCTCCCTCAGCCAGCCCATCATCCATCTCCCTCCTTTTCTTCCTCCGCTGGTGGGGGAAGCGGGCAGATGGCCTGTATGGGAGGGGAAGTGTCAGGACTAGGCCAGAGGCTGAGAATCTCTCTTTAGCTGTCTGGAACCCTTGTCACCTTACCTTTTGCCAGTTGCGGCAATGGAGCAATCCCTGTGGGAAAAGATCAGGTGTTAGCAGATCCCCTCAAACAAAACTCAAAAGGGCATCTTGGGGCTACTGGGATCCCTTGGACCTTGTGTACCACCCATACCCTTGGGGCTTTAGCTGCCAAACATGAGGGGGCCCGGTTGCTTTTGCCATGGTCTTTGTACATGTGGAGTGGTTAGGTCTGTGATGGAGGAAGCACAAGGCAGAATGGTCAAGGCATGGATGAAGGAAGAAGTTACCCACCATAAGCCCTTAGACCTAGATCCTTCAAAACCTTACTTGTTGTGAGTATCAGAGGGGGTTTTCCCAGCTTCCTCATCCAGGCGCTCCCTGGCAGCAGAAGAGGATAGTCGGCTTGGAGTCCCAAGGGTCCAGCGTGGGACAGTTTCAAGTGGCTTCCCCATAGGATACCTTTCTCCCCAAGTCAGCCTTTGATGTCCCATGCAGATCCACCCAAAATCAGAGGGTCCCACATGCCAAAGCTGCCAGCCCTATGACCCCAGGATGGACCAGGTCCCAACCTGTCCATATGACTCTTCTCTAGAAGACACTGTAGAACAGCATCCAGTTGGTTCCGTGCTTTGGCCATCTCCAACTCTGGGGGAAGAAGGTACCAAGCCAGAGTCAGTCTATAGGCATATCCTGTGTCAGGGCCAATGGTATGGCTTGACCCAGGCCTGCTAAAAGGTAGCAGTGAGGAGAGACCAGGAGACACCAGGGTTCCCTACAATACTCAGAACATAGGTTGAAGAGTTGAGGCAACTGAGACTGTAACAAAGAACCTTGGGCAGGAGCCAAGGTTATGGATCATAGGCACATCTCTGTCCTCAGCTTTGGCTTATTTCCTGAACCCCAACCTGGGGATCCCATGATCTGGACACCTCCCTCTGGACATCTCACAGGCCACTGATGGTACATCTTTTAGGGCTTTCAAAAATAACAAACAGGGGCAGGGGAGATGGCTCAGTGGAATAAGTGCTTCCCTGGCAAGGGCAAGGGCCTGAGTTCAATCCCCGGTTCCACCAAAACAAACCCAACCCAAAACAAAACAAAAAACAGCTGGCTGGGCATGTGTGCCGTAGGTTCCATCCCACTGTTCTAGGCTTTCTATCCCCTGGGCTGCACTCTAAGGTCAGTGTCTAAATCTGCTTTTTCTTGGATCCCCAAGGAGGATGACCACATTGTTTCTCAGTTCCTTCACTATCCTCACTATGGACACCTTTCCTTCCCTCCATATTATTTGTAGTTTGGCTCCTCTTACTATTCCCTGAGGTTCCATGAACAAGCTACTTCCTGGGCTGATGAGATGGCTCAGTGGTCTAAAGCACCTACTTAGAACAAGCTTAGCAAAGCACAGGGACGGGAGTTCAATCCCCCAGCACCACATGCCAGCCAGCCC